ACTTTTGCTAGCTAGCCATCTTGGCGATAAACATTAGGAAATTTTGCGAACAACTACCGCAAAAGTTTCAACTTTTGCGAACAACTACCTTTATTTATTTTTTTTGTTGCGAACAACTACAACGAACTTTGTATTTGTTTTGTTACCACTACCAGTTAACGATGGACGCTTGCTTGCTGTATGTGGGGCCCACCTTTCGTCATTTTCCCTCCAACTATCTCTCCTTTATATTAACGATCTTCCCCCTAATTAAATACTCTCTGTTTCTTTAAATGTTTGTCTTCCAAAATTTTAGGGCATGCATAGGTGAAATTCCTCACCTAGAGATCGAATTCAAGCTATTAGGATTGAAAAAACATTTAATATTCGCTCATTTTCTTAATCTTTCTTATGATTTCTGGTTAATTGTTCATTTTTTTGTGTATTGAACGAATTAGGGTGGGCCCCACATACGACAAGCAAACGTTCATCATTAACTGGTAGTAGTAACAAAACAAATACTTCCTCCGTTCTTTTATTATTGCACCACTTGTCTTTTTAAGAAGTTTCACAAATATTGCACCATTTCCTCTTTAGGAAAAAATTTATTTGTGTTCACACTATAAATACCCAATATACTCTTGCTTTTCACACTTACTTTTTAGTTTATCAATATATCACATTGGCAATTGTATTTTTACCTTTCTCTCTCTTACTTTTTTCCACTATCAAAATATTTGTACCCAACTATTATGGTGCAATAATTAAAAAATAAACGGAGGAAATACAAAGTTTGTGGTAGTTGTTTACAAAAAAAAAAAAAAAAAAAAAAAAAAAAATAAAAAAAATGAAGAAGAATATAAAAGTAGTTGTTCGCAAAAGTTGAAAAGTTGTTTGCAAAATTTCCTAAACATTACGAGTATTTTTTTTTTTTTTTTGAAGGAAACATTACGAGTACTTAAGAAGCAAATACTTTTGCTAATCATATTGGAGAGTCAAATTACTAGTAGAGATATAACAATAAAGAAGTAGTAATAATGAGTACTAGTTTGACTACAAATTACTAGTAGAGATATAACTAGTTTGACTACAACTACGCCTACTGACATCTAATTTAGTACAATAATCCGTATGAAGGTTTTTTTTTTATTTTTAATGGATATGAGGTATATATATACTAGTAGAAGATAGGTTAAACAATGAAAAAAAAATTGTTCATTAATCAAAATATATATTTGATATTTTGACTTACCCCATATATTACTTTGTACTCCCTCTATCCCTTATCTACATGTATATTCTCATTTTTCACGGGAATTAAGGAACTTAATAATTCCTTAAGTGAACTGTTAAACATCGCCCGCAAATTCCTACATAAAGCCCACAAAATAAGAGTGAAATGACACTTTTGCCCTCAAACTAAAAAACACAATTTCTCTCTCTACTCTCTACTTCCACTTTCTCTCTCTAAATTATTTCCAGAGCTATGTCGAGGCGGCCCGGCAAGGAAGTGGCGGCACCGGCGGTGGGCGGAAGGCGGTTTGCCGGCCAGAAGGTAATTTTTGTAATTTTTGTAATTTTTTTTTAAAAAAAAAAACCTCCGGCGACGGTGGGGCGCCAAGGCGAGACGCCACCACCACGGAGGAGGCGCCTAGGCAAGACGCCCATACGGTGGTGGCGGCGCCTAGCCCAGACGCCACTACCACGGCGGCGGCGCATAGGCTAGGCGCCACGGCTGTGGTAGTGGCGTCTGGGCTAGGCGCCGCCACCACCGTACGGGCGTCTTGCCTAGGCGCCTCCTTCTCTTTTTTTTAAAAAAAATTTTTTTTTGTTTTTTTTTAATTTTAAATTTTATTTTCGAATTTTTTTTTTTTTTTTTAAAAAATTTGTTTTTCTTTTTTTTAAATTGTATGTTCCCTTTTTTTTTATCTTTTTTTTTAAATTTTGTTTTTTTATTTGTTTTAATTTTATGTTCTATTTTTTTTTTTTAAAAAAAATTGTTTCTGGTTTTAATTTTTAATTTTATGTTCCTATGTATTTTTTTTTTTTTTTTGAATTATATTTTTGTATGTAAAAAAATTATAAGTTCCCTTTTTTTTTATAAATTTTCTTTAAAATTTTGATGTTCTTCTTTTTTTAAGTTTTTGCAATTTTAAATTTTTTAAGTTTTGTTAGTTTTTTGTTTTTGGTTTTTTCTTTGCATTTTTGATTTTTTGTTTTTGTTTATGTTTTTCATTTTTTAGTTTGTTGTTTATATTTTTTGTTTTTGGTTATATATTTTGTTTTTGGTATATTGTTTTGTTCATATTTATATTTTTTTATGTTTATATTTATATTTTTTATGTTTTTATTTATATTGTGTTGTTTATATTTTTATTTTTTATGTTTATAATTTTATTTCCGTTACTTGTTTATTTGCTTTTGTGTTTATTTTCGTCCTTTTTTGTATTTATATTTTTTGTTTTTGGTAATATTTTTTGTTTTTGTTTTTGTTTATGTTTGTTTTTTTTTTGTTTGTAGTTTATATTTTTTGTTTTTGGTATATGTTTATGTTTATATTTCTTATGTTTATATGTATATTGTCTTGTATATATTTATATTTTTTATGTTTATAATTTTATTTCCGTGACTTGTTTATTTGCTTTTGTGTTTATTTTCGACTTTTTTTAATTTGTTTTCGTTATTATGTTTCGTTATTTACTTGGAGTTAGGCATCGCAATTTGGACCTGGTGCGGGGAAGAGTATTGACGTCGTGAGGAGTACGATCTACTCAATGGAGAGCTCGGGGCCCAGACACGTTAGATCCCGTGGTATTTCGGCCTCGGCCCGCAGAGAACGGGTGCACTGTTCTGCGGACGATCAAGATGATGATGATGAGGAGGAGGAGGAGGAGGAGGAGGTCGAGGAGGAGGAGGTCGAGGACGAGGATGATGCAGATGAGGATGTCGACGATCAGAGTGGACCATATGATGATTACGGTCCATTCAGTCAGAGGCTTGATGATACGTATGAGACGCATAGGGTAGATGTGCGTAAGAGTCGAGATGGTAGGTTTGTTAGTAGATCTGGCACATCATCTGCGTCCACTGTGTCTGCGGGTAGCAGAAAACGGTCGAGGGCCGTTAATGATTCTTGGATGGTGAGGGGTGAGGTGGCCGGGGGACCTATAGACGGGAGTGTGATTCCTAGCTTTTTAGGACACATCGCTACCCGTATTTGGGAGGACCAGGAGAGGGCTTTGGATACAGGCATTTTGAAATGCCAAACCCGGGAAAAGACTTGTAGGTTTTTGTGTAGCTGGGCTGATGCTTGGCCGGAGGAGAGCGAGATGGTCGGGCGATTGAGGGGCACTAGAGTGAGTCACCTTCCTGCCACCATGCACGACAGGATTGACTGGACGCTGATCACGGCTTTCGTTGAGCGATGGCAGCCGGATACGAACTCGTTCCACCTTCCGTTCGGTGAGATGACGATCATGTTGCATGACGTCGAGGCCATCCTTGGGATTCCCGTGGAGGGAAACCGAGCATCTCTCGTCACTGATGCGGATCAGGCAGATTTACTAGCGGAGCTGTTGGCGGTGGATAGGGCTGCGCTGTACACATCGGCACTTGGTGTGTGGGATCACGGCGGCGTTAAGATCGCAGCCGTCTTGCAGCGATGTTTGCACCCTACGGCACGTAGGACGCAGGACACACAGCTGGCTGCATATGTTTTTCTTCTTCTCGGGTGTACCTTGTTTCCGGATAAGAGCGGGAACAAGCTCAGGCCACGCGACATAGTTGACGCGTGTGAGCCCGACAGAGTAGGCCAGTTTTCTTGGGGGTCGGCTACGCTGGCGTATCTGTATCGCCAGTTAGGATTCTCGAGCCGGGCTGATGCAGCAGGTATCACTGGATGTCTGACGTTGTTACAGACCTGGATATACGAGTATTTTCCTGCGTTTCGACCACACCGCGACCCGGTTCCCATTGGTGATGGCCAGCCACGTGCCTGTGCGTGGAGTCCGCGCGTCGAGAAGAAGTCCGTTGACCGCCTGCGCTCCATACGGTTATCGCTTGACAGGATGTCCCCCTTAGAGGTACAGTGATTAAATTATTTCTACTTTTACAATCTGATGCTTTATTTTATGACTGTTACTGATTTTAAATAATGTGCAGGTGAACTGGATGCCTTTCGGCCAGAACCCTAGTAATAGGGTACCCAGGACCCTCTACACCGGACTGATTCAGTATCGCGAGATCGTAGAGGCGTACATGCCGCAGCGCTGTCTTCGCCAGCTTGGATTTGTCCAAGTTGTCCCACCTCCACCGGCATGGCCCAGTAAGGCGGTACGATCTGCGTCGTCGAAGGAGTACGTCGTCCAATGGCCGGCAAACATGATATCCATGTGGGAGCAGTTTTCGATGGTTGCCCGCCTATGGACGGCGGAGCTGCAGCGGCCGCCAAGTGGGGTGACTGCCATGTGTGACCAGCACTACATGGAATGGTACATCCGGCACTCGCACCCGAGGTTGATCAAAGACATCGACGACGCAGATGATGACGATGTGCCACCTGCCACTGCCTCTTATGCGGTACGTCTCATCTTTTTTTTGTTGTTCTCTTATTTTAATATATATATGTATAATACGTCGTTTCATGTTTTTTGTTTTGTGTAGTGGATGGGCAAGATTATGCAGTTGGGACACCGACTTTTTGAGGAAAGGGACTGCATGACGAGTGCATCAGGCAGAGCTGTTATTGACGATCTGGAACGGACCCTTGAGCAGTGGCAGTGGGCGTCACAGAGGGATTACTGATATTTGAAATTAGACATTATCTTTTTAGTTTGTAATATTTGAAATTATTGTTCTTAGTTTTTAAAATTCAATATTATCTTTTTAGTTTGTAATATTGTGAAATTATTGTTGTTAGTTTTTAAAATGAAACATTATCTTTTAAAAATGAACACTTAGAAATGACATAGTATTGACAATACAAGGCCTCATAGTAAAAGGTAGGTGTACATCAACAAAAACTACATGGCAATTAAATTGTTCCACTGTTGCACGCGAGCATGGTACAAAGCATCCCAACCCTCCACGCTTGCTCTACGAATTTCATACCACTTCAATATGATATGTGGGACCGGAAAATCGGGTGACATGTCTAATCGGATAAAATGTCTGTATGACGGCCCAAGAAATCCAATAGCAACGTCCCTTACCGGTCTGGTGACGGTCTCGCGCGAACACCAGGGCAGAACCGTTGTACATGGATAATAGGCTCGACTATGTAAACCAAGGCCGAAATGCATGACTGCACACTTGTAGATGTTTGCAACGGCAAAGAGATCAAGTGGCGCATCGAACCAATGATTTTGATCGCAAGGTCCCCCTCCCCAACGGATACGCTGCAGAGACCTATCCAAGTCCTCGCCGTACACATGGCCATACACATCTCGGTTTGATGCGATTTCACTGTACATCAACTGCCTCACTAAACCGTAGTTGTCTTCACCCATTTGAAACACATCCGCCACAACCCGAAATCCGCAGTTACCATCTGCAATGACATCATTCCACCCGTCCAAGAATGGCATCATGATATTAGGGATCCTGTCCTTATATGGAAAATGTTCAATGTCCATTCTCCCTGTTACACACATCAATAAACACAATAAACAAGTCAACAGTAAACTAATCAAACAGTCAACAAAAGAAATTGAAGTCGAATGTCTTACCGGTGCCGGGCATATTCACCGACGACGATGATTGGCTGCCACTTGATGAGGATGTACGACCACGGCCACGGCCACGGCCACGACCGCGAATGTACTCAAACGCACTCTTGTTCCGCCGTGGTTGTCGACCCCTAGGTCGCTCGACCCCTTCCGGTTCCTCGGTATCCAAACACGATGTATGCGGAACAGCATGCTCTCCGATAACGAGCGTCCGCCAGAATGGATGAACCTGATCGACATGTAACGACGCCCTGTCTTGCGTAATTACGCGGTGAATGGTGCATGCACAAGGTAATCCATGAGTCACTGATATAGCACATCCGCACCGAATAGCCACTTCATCGCCCAACTCCCTCATCCTGGTATACTCGCTCAGAATCAACCCCAAAAAGTGGTGTGACACACGACCGTGGAGAATCTTAAATATGAAATGGCCATACAACATGCCATGTCGTCGTCTGGAGTCCTCGAGATAGTTCTTGATGCCGTTCCTCTGAGTATCAATAGCCTTGTTTATTCTCTCGAACAGTGTATCCAGAGCAGCCGTGGAAGAATCAATCCAGTCCTTCAAAGCTCTATGAGCGCTCTCGACTCTGCATGTCGTAGTGTTCCCAAAATGAAGAACTTGGTTCGTCCAATATTTGACAAACTTTTCCCTCTGAGGTACCCACTGGTGCATCACATAGTCTACGATTGGCGGGCACCACTTGTACGCATCCTTGAAGTTTTCCAAGGCTCGATCGTACTCTGCCTCTGTGGTAGCTTGCATGATCTTCCGCCACTTACCATTTACCAATGTCTCTGCTGTTACTAAATTCTTGTTGAAAAGATTGTAGGCTTTGACTTTCACGCAGTTGTTGATGTGCCATGTGCACAGTAAATGGCTCGACTCCGGAAACAGCTCCGCTATAGGGGCAAAAAGACCTCCCTCACAATCACTTACGATGGCCGATGGCTGTACATTTGGGCCGATGTAGTTTCTCAACTTTTCCAACACCCAACGGTAACTCGCAGCCGTCTCATCCTTCATGACTGCATAACCAATCAGAAAGTTCTGGTTCGTTGGAGCCATCCCAACCATCTCAACCAGTGGGAACTTGTACTTGTTTGTCTTGTACGTTGAATCGATCAAAATCACAGATGGCCAAGACGAAATCATATCAGCACAATCAGGATGGACAAGGAACAAATGAGTTACCTCCGATGTGTCTTCGTCAGATTCAAACCAGTAAAGGTAACCACGTGCTTGTGCCTGGTGCAGAAGCTGCTGTATAGGGTTCCTTCCCTCTGACCGTTCAAACCTCAATTTCTGTCTGACGTTGTAGATGTGTCTTCGGTTTGGCTGGTCTTCGGGGAATTTCTCTAACACAGACGCTAATATTTTAGCGGGCTTCACTCGAGCATCACTCATTTCTTTTACAACTAGTTTCGCAGCTGGACTTAGGCCGCTTAACTGCCGATGCCCCACTTTGTATGCTATCAGCTCATGGTTGTGATATCCCCATTTGCCGTAACCCTTCACTTCCCAACCGTCACGCCTTTGATGTTGTCGAACCTTAACTCGGAACTGACACCCACAACCTTTCCGCTTTGAGTCAAACCGAATCGCTTTACTGAAATCTCGTTCTTCTCTTTTGCGATAACGGTCGCATCTCAAAATGCGATCCATTCTACCATCCCGTTGAGATTTATGAGTTGCTACTACTAAACAAAAGCCTGATCTAATTGCAACCTGTTTTGCCCAATCAATCGCTTGTTGAGCATCTTCGAACAGGCCATCATGTACAAAAATCCCACTGTAATCATTTCCGTCTCCACCATAATCCTGTAACAATAACATATAACGTATAAATATAATTACATTAAGATTAAATTAATACACTTAACACAAAATTATCACAAACGCAATTTCTAAATTTTAAATTTCTAAATATCATTTTTATATTTAACGCATAATACATTTAAAAAACAAAATAATAACACACATTTCATTTCAAATTTATCAAACATAAATAAACAAACAAAAAAAACCATAATAAAAAAAAAATAAACAAATACAAAACAAAATAAAACAAAAACAAACACAAAATAAAAGATGCATTAAAAAAACTTAATTAAAAAAAAAAATTAATTCCCTCCAAAAAAAATTAAAAGGAAATAAAACAACACAAGCAAACAAAAACAAAAAAATTCCAAAAAAAAAAAACAAAACAAAATAAAACACCACAAGCAAAAAAAAATCAAAAACAAATCAAAACAAATAAACAAAAAAAACAAAACAAATCAAAAAAAAAAACAAAAACAAAACAAAACCAAACAAAAAAAAAACAAACAAACAAATAAAAAAAAACAAAAACAAAACAAACTAACAAAAAAAAAAACAAACAAACAAATAAAAAAAAAAACAAAAACAAAACAAACAAACAAAAATAAAAACAAACAAACAAATAAAAAAAAAAGAAAAACAAAACAAAAAAACCAAAAAAAAAAAAAAAGGGGGATTAAATTAAAAAATAAAAAAAAAGAAAAACAAACAAAAATAAAAACAAACAAACAAATAAAAAAAAAACAAAAACAAAACAAAAAAAAACAAAAAAAAAAAAAAGGGATTAAATTAAAAAATAAAAAAAATAAAAAAAAATATATATATATTCCCCTAGTGGCGCCTGGCCAGGACGCCGGAGCCACGGCCTTGGCGCCTGGTCAGGACGCCGGAGCCACGGCCGGGGCGCCTGGTCAGGACGCCGCCGCCATGGTGGCGGCGTCCTGGCCAGGCGCCCTGGCCGTGGCTCCGGCGTCCTGGCCACGCGCCACTACCATGGTCGAGGCTTCTCCACCAGGCGCCGTTACCACGGTGGCGGCGTCCTGGCTAGGCGCCACAACCACGGCATGGCCTTTTGGCTAGGCGCCAGCCACCATTTCGTCCTTACGATGCGTTACGAACCTCGTTTTCTGATGACGACGGCGATTCTCCGGTGATCCTCGGCGATCCGGTGCTGCTCCACATTTTTTTAGTGCGAAAAATTTATCTTCGGTTAAAATTATAAAAAGGGCAAATTTGTCAAAAAATTATAAAATGTGGGCTTTATGTAGAGATTTGCGGGCGATGAATAACAAGTCCCTTCCTTAAACCCATGATTGAGTACAAATGTGCAAGTGAGATTAGAGAGATATAGAGAGAAAGAAAAGCTGGTTGGTAATTTTTGAAGAGATAAAGAAATAAAGTGTTGGAAAATGATGTTAAAAGGACAAAAAAATACGGAGTAAAAGAAAATTGATAATAACTCATCAAAAAGTCATAATATTATCAAAAATACATTCTTTAAACAGAAATAGACATGTACTTAGATCGGTAGTTTAAAAACCCCATAAACGAAATTAAAGTATGCATGCAGATAAGGGACAAAGGGACACTTCTAAAGAGTACGGTACATAGATAGATGAATGAACTGATTCATAATGGGACGTTGGAACAAATCATTACAATTGAGTGGGAATAACTAATTGTTTCTTTTGACGCTAATTAAACTGCTAATTGAATTTTTAAGGAAGCTCCAAGATACAGTGATCAGGATTGTAAACAGTTGTTAACTTGTCATAAGCACAAAACCTCTAGTATTCTCATTGGCTTCGTATCTCAAGGTTGAATCCTACGGAGTATTTCAAGTGTAACTAGGTAAGCACTACTACCTGGGAGAAATTCTAGATTTTCTACCACTAAAGGCAAATTTTTGAATAAATTTTTGGGTGTGTATTGTCACTTTCTAGGTTATTATTAGATCATGTGATATGTCCTTCTCTCATTTTTTTAAGGAAATTTTGAGTTTTACCACCAAAAAATTTCAACAAATTGTTTTTTACCACCTACTATTTTCAATCTTTTATTTTACCACCAAATAAAAAAATTAAAGTTGTTTTTTACCACCTTTAGCCAATTCCGGTGACTGAAAAGTGCTGTGGGGCCCACCCTTTTTAATTTCCCTCCAATTTTATTTACACCCACCCCGATTTATTTCTTCTGTTGATTAACCCCAACCAACTTCATTTAATTCCTCTAACTTTCTCACCTTCCTCTCATTTAGTACTCTGAATTTCACTCCTCTTCTCACTCTTCTGACCCTAAATTTTCCTCTTCCCATTTGAATTTTGATGTTGCTGTTGCAGTAACGAAGAGGTGGCACCACAGAAACCCTACAACTCAGCTTCAATTCGTCACTTTCAACAAGGGGGGACCTAAAGTGTTGGACTTTACTAACATAGATTCGAGATTCTGACAAAGCAAGATACTTTTAGCATCTTAACTGTAGTTAGTGTGTGTGATTGTGGTGTAATTGTTGATTTTATATGCTAAATATGGGGTGTTGTGGACTTTGTGTTGATTAACCCTAAAATTCGAATCTTAGACATGTGTGGATGTATTATGCTGTGATTACTGTATAATTAAAAATTAGGGTTATATATTGTTGGTATGTGGATTTACCATTGAGTCTGTGGTCAAGCTTTGACCTGATTGATATATTAAGTGTTTAAAGACTTGTTTACATTGAACACTGTGTAAAGTATCAGTTACATTAATTAATGAATCATTTGGGACTAAATTGAGTTATGTTATGTTTATGTGTTGTGTGTGTAGCAGAATGAACAAAGTCCAACTTAAACTGACATTGGGTGGTGCTTTTATACCTTCTTTAATTGGAAAAAAAAAAAAGAAAAAGAGGCTATTAAGCTGGGATGGGGGATGGGTATACTGAAAGAAAAATGTGAATCCCTCCAACATTGATGTACATTTTATAAGAGAAGTTGTTGTCCATGGGTTTGTGTCTGTTAATGTACAGGTCCCTACTAAGTTTAGTTGCTGGTATAGACAAAAGGGGAGGACATTTACAACTGGTAAAAGGGAGTTGGTGAACAGTGAAGAGATAAAAGGATTGTTAGATACAGTGAACAGGGAGGGAGTTATTGAGGTGTTTGTCACAAGTGGGGAACCAATCCAGGCCACTCCCATTACACCTTTTCATATTATGATGGGAATTCTATGAGTGCAAAAGAAAGAAATAAGTTGAGTAAAGATCCATTTGTGCCCAAATTAAAGCCCAACCCAGTTACTTCTAGCCCAACAATAAAGGCCCTTACTGAAGAACCACTTAGGAGAAGCCCTAGATTATCTGTTAAAG